TATATTTATTTAATTTAAATAATACAAGTAAATGTTTTATATTTTATCTATCCATTGCATTGTTGCATCCTTTATAAATTGAGAACAATCTAGGGGACTTCCCATTATCCAAGTAGGTATTGTATCTTTCACTCCTTCGAATTTTGTATTCCTTGTATATGTGAAAGTCATTAGTATAATTTATCATTCATTTGAAAAGAAGTCATCTCTCTTTATAATTTGAATCTTCATATGACAGGTTGATGATATGAGTAAATGGCTATTTCTATAGTTAATGTAATATTTAGTTTGTAAATAAATAATTATATCATATTTTTGTATATGCTTTCTTTTCTTATTTAACTAAATATCTATTTATTTATTAATATTTAATTTTATTTAAAATAATTTCCACCAATATCATACTAGGAATCTCTTTATTAATTTAGCAACCTCCCTCATTCAAAATATGACGGAGCATGCAAAATTATTAATTTAAAAAAGTAGAGAATAAAATTGCATTTAAATCTAAAAGTTTGCAATAAATAAATATATTTATTTAATTTAAATAATACAAGTAAATGGTTTATATTTTATCTATACATAGCGTTGTTACATCCTTTATAGATTGAGAACGGTCTAGGGGACTTCCCATCATCCAAGTAGGTTGTGTATCTTTCACTCCTTCGATTTTTTTATTCCTTGTATATGTGAAAGTCACTAGTATAATTTGTCATTCATTAGAAAATATGTCATCTCTTTTTATAATTTGAATCTTCATATGTCAGGTCAAGGATATGGGTAAATGGTTATTTCTATAGTTAATGTAATATTTAGTTTATAAATAAATAATGATATCACATTTTCGTTTATGCTTTCTTTTTTTATTTAACTAAAAATATATTTATATGTTAATATTTAATTTTATTTAAATTAATTTCCTCCAATATAATATTAGGAATCTCTTTATTAATTTAGCAACCTGCTTTATTCAAAATATGACGGAGCGTGCAAAATCATTAATTTATAAAAGTAGAGACTAAAATTGCATTTAAATCTAAAAGTTTGCAATCAATAAATATATTTATTTAAGTTAAATAATACAAGTAAATGTTTTATATTTTATCTATCCATTGCATTGTTACATCCTTTATAAATTGGGAACAGTCTAGGGGACTTCCCATTATCCAAGTAGGTATTGTATCTTTCACTCCTTCGAATTTTTTATACCTTGTATATGTGAAAGTCATTAGTATAATTTATCATTCATTTGAAAATAAGTCATCTCTCTTTATAATTTGAATCTTCATATGACAGGTCGATGATATGAGTAAATGGCTATTTTTATAGTTAATGTAATATTTAGTTTATAAATAAATAAATATATCATATTTTCGTTTATGCTTTCTTTTCTTATTTAACTAAATATCTATTTATTTATTAATATTTAATTTTATTTAAAATAATTTCCACCAATATCATACTAGGAAGCTCTTTATTAATTTAACAACCTCCTTCATTCAAAATATGACGGAGCGTGCAAAATTATAAATTTATAAAAGTAGAAAATAAAATTGCATTTAAATATAAAAGTTTGCAATCAATAAATATATTTATTTAATTTAAATAATACAAGTAAATGTTTTATATTTTGTCTATCCATAGCATTGTTGCATCCTTTATAAATTGAGAACAATCTAGGGGACTTCCCGTTATCCAAGTAGGTATTGTATCTTTCACTCCTTCGAATTTTGTATTCCTTGTATATGTGAAAGTCATTAGTATAATTTATCATTCATTTAAAAATAAGTCATCTCTTTTTATAATTTGAATCTTCATATGACAGGTTGATGATATGAGTAAATGGGTATTTCTATAGTTAATGTAATATTTAGTTTATAAATAAATAATTATATCATATTTTTGTTTATGCTTTCTTTTTTTATTTAACTAAAAATCTATTTATATGTTAATATTTAATTTTATTTAAAATAATTTCCTCCAATATAATACTAGGAATCTCTTTAATAATTTAGCAACCTCCTTCATTCAAAATATGACGGAGCGTGCAAAATCATAAATTTATAAAAGTAGAGAATAAAATTGCATTTAAATCTAAAAGTTTGCAATAAATAAATATATTTATTTAATTTAAATAATACAAGTAAATGTTTTATATTTTATCTATTCATAGCGTTGTTACATCCTTTATAGATTGAGAACGGTCTAGGGGACTTCCCATCATCCAAGTAGGTTGTGTATCTTTCACTCCTTCGATTTTTTTATTCCTTGTATATGTGAAAGTCATTAGTATAACTTATCATTCATTAGAAAATATGTCATCTCTTTTTGTAATTTGAATCTTCATATGACAGGTCAATGATATGAGTAAATGGCTATTTCTATAGTTAATGTAATATTTAGTTTATAAATAAATAATTATATCATATTTTTGTTTATGCTTTCTTTTTTTATTTAACTAAAAATCTATTTATATGTTAATATTTAATTTAATTTAAATTAATTTCCTCCAATATAATATTAGGAATCTCTTTATTAATTTAGCAACCTCCTTTATTCAAAATATGATGGAGCGTAAAAAATAATTAATTTATAAAAGTAGAGACTAAAATTGCATTTAAAACTAAAAGTTTGCAATCAATAAATATATTTATTTAATTTAAATAATACAAGTAAATGTTTTATATTTTATCTATCCATAGCATTGTTACATCCTTTATATATTGAGAACAGTCTAGGGGACTCCCCATTATCCAAGTAGGTATTGTATCTTTCACTCCTTCGAATTTTTTATTCCTTGTATATGTGAAAGTCATTAGTATAATTTATCATTCATTTGAAAATAAGTCATCTCTCTTTATAATTTGAATCTTCATATGACAGGTCAAGGATATGAGTAAATGGCTATTTCTATAGTTAATGTAATATTTAGTTTATAAATAAATAATTATATCATATTTTCGTTTATGCTTTCTTTTCTTATTTAACTAAATATCTATTTATTTATTAATATTTAATTTTATTTAAAATAATCTCCACCAATATCATACTAGGAATCTCTTTATTAATTTAACAACCTCCTTCATTCAAGATATGACGTACCGTGCAAAATCATAAATTTATAAAAGTAGACAATAAAATTGAATTTAAATCTAAAAGTTTGCAATAAATAAATATATTTATTTAATTTAAATAATACAAGTAAATGTTTTATATTTTATCTATTCATAGCGTTGTTACATCCTTTATAGATTGAGAACAGTCTAGGGGACTTCCCATTATCCAAGTAGGTATTGTATCTTTCACTCCTTCGAATTTTTTATACCTTGTATATGTGAAAGTCATTAGTATAATTTATCATTCATTTGAAAATAAGTCATCTCTCTTTATAATTTTAATCTTCATATGACAGGTCGATGATATGAGTAAATGGCTATTTCTATAGTTAATGTAATATTTAGTTTATAAATAAATAATTATATCATATTTTTGTATATGCTTTCTTTTCTTATTTAACTAAATATCTATTTATTTATTAATATTTAATTATATTTAAAATAATTTCAACCAATATCATACTAGGAATATGTTTATTAATTTAGCAACCTCCTTCATTCAAAATGTGGCGGAGCATGCAAAATTATTAATTTATAAAAGTAGAGAATAAAATTGCATTTAAATCTAAAAGTTTGCAATCAATAAATATATTTATTTAATTTAAATAATACAAGTAAATGTTTTATATTTTATCTATTCATAGCATCGTTACATCCTTCATAGATTGAGAACAGTCTAGGGGACTTCCCATTATCCAAGTAGGTATTGTATCTTTCACTCCTTCGAATTTTTTATACCTTGTATATGTGAAAGTCATTAGTATAATTTATCATTCATTTGAAAATAAGTCATCTCTCTTTATAATTTGAATCTTCATATGACAGGTCGATGATATGAGTAAATGGGTATTTCTATAGTTAATGTAATATTTAGTTTATAAATAAATAATTATATCATATTTTTGTATATGCTTTCTTTTCTTATTTAACTAAATATCTATTTATTTATTAATATTTAATTTTATTTAAAATAATTTCAACCAATATAATACTAGGAATCTGTTTATTAATTTAGCAACCTCCTTCATTCAAAATGTGACGGAGCATGCAAAATTATTAATTTATAAAGGTAGAGAATAAAATTGCATTTAAATCAAAAAGTTTGCAATAAATAAATATATTTATTTAATTTAAATAATACAAGTAAATGTTTTATATTTTATCTATACATAGCGTTGTTACATCCTTTATAGATTGAGAACTGTCTAGGGGACTTCCCATCATCCAAGTAGGTTGTGTATCTTTCACTCCTTCGATTTTTTTATTCCTTGTATATGTGAAAGTCATTAGTATAATTTATCATTCATTAGAAAATATGTCATCTCTTTTTATAATTTGAATCTTCATATGACAGGTCAATGATATGAGTAAATGGCTATTTCTATAGTTAATGTAATATTTAGTTTATAAATAAATAATTATATCATATTTTCGTTTATGCTTTCTTTTTTTATTTAACTAAAAATCTATTTATAACACTACGCCAAAAATGATTTTTTGTATCACCTAATTTAATAGCACTTTTAAAAAAAATGCTATTAAAATGGAAAAAACACATTTATAATAGCACTTTTTAATCGGGCGCTATTATATAATACACACTATGTAATTTTGATAGCACTTTGTACCATAACGCTATTATTAAACTTCTTTAAGATAGCATTTTGTTTAAAACGCTATTATTTGACTACCTATATAATAGCATTTATTAAAAAGCGCTATGTTATATATAATAATGAATTAATTAATTAATTGAATAAAAAAAAAAAAAACACTTTTTCAGAAACTCTATCCCGAAAAATCCTCCACCTTCTACATCTTCAAACTTTATCCCCAAAATCCTCCACATCTGAACCCTCGCGAAACTCTGTTCCGTTCTCATCAATGGCTTCTGCTCCCTCTCATTGCACCGAGCTCGCCAAGCTCTGTAGCTCCAAGGACTGGTCCAAGGCAATTCGAATCCTCGATTCACTCGTTTCTCAGTCTGCTGCTGTTCAAGACATCTGGTGCAATTTTCAATTCTCTCCGATTCAATTTGCAATCGATGTTTGTTAATTAGTCTCATGTATGCTGATTTTTGTTCAATTTTGTTATTGTGCTTGTTTTCAGTAACCGAGCCTTCTGTTATAGCCAATTGGAACTGCATAAGCATGTGATTAAGGATTGCGATAGAGCGATTCAGCTTAACTCCTTGCATCTTCAAGCTTACATTCTGAAAGGTTTCTTCTCAGTTGTTAATTGATTTCATTCAGCTTTATCTACTTTATCAAATTGTTTGTACAGAAATATCTGCTGTGTAGTTACTAGTTAGTATCATGATAAGTGCTATTGAGTTCTAGTATGAATAATTGATGGATTACTTATAACTGAATTTGACTTTGGATTTTTGCTTAAGATTTTTAATTTGTTTATTGATGCTCTCCTTCTTTGCAACTTTTCTTTTACTTGCAAAGAATGCATCTCTAGGGATCAACTTCATGATTATATCATTGAAAGGTGCATGACCAGTAAGCACAATGTCTTTAGGTTGCTGAATGGAAGAACATGTTGCAGCTAGATGCTTTATTGCCAATACAATCCTTTCAACATGCTCCCTACAAGTTCCATGAGTTAGTACATAAGTGATAGATTTATTCCCAATAAGTTCGCAGACGATTCCAAAATCCCTTAATAAGATTCTATCTGCTTCATAACCCGATAAACCAAGCTCCCAAAAACCTACGGTAAGCCGCAATGGATCCATAGCCAGAAAATTTGGAAAGCTTGAATGCTCAAGCACTGAGATTCCAGGGATTCGTTTTAGAAAGCTCTTTGCTTCATTTGCTAATTCAACGGCTTGGTTGAATATAACATCAGGGCTTTCACTAAGTTGAGCTCTAGCAGCATCTAGGGATGCCAAAAGTAGGAAACTAGGACTTGTAGGTTGGAGAGTTTGGAGACACCTAGATATTTTGTCCTTATCTACGATGTCGCCGGACACGTGCAGTATAGATGACTGACTAAGAGAGGAAAGAACCTTGTGAGTAGATTGTACAGCTAGATCAGCACCTTGCTGGAGGGCTGACCTAGGCAGTTCAGAATTAAATCCAAGATGTGCACCATGAGCTTCATCAACAATTAAAGGAATTTTCCGAGAATGACACAACTTAGATATTTCTCTCAAGTTACTGCAAATACCATGATAAGTAGGTGAAGTGATGAAAACAGCTCCTAGTTTTTTTCCTTCCAGTTCTAGTTCCTTGATAGCATTCAATACCTGTAATGGAGTGATGCCACCAGGGAGATCCCAATCATTTTTATAGTCAGGAACAATGTACTTTGCCACTGCACCACATAATACCATGCTAGATATAGCTGACAAATGACAGTTTCTGGGAAGAATGAGATAATCTCCAGGTGAACAGGTTGCCATAATTGCTGCCTGGATCCCACAAGTAGTACCTCCAACAAGAAACCATGTCTGTGATGATCCAAACAATTTGGCTGCTTCTTTTTGTGCTTCTAATATTCGTCCTTGGGGATTAAAGAGGGTATCAAGTGCTGGAATGCAGCCCATATCATGGGCATATGGTTTGATTCCAATAAGTTGAGTAAACGAAGAAGGAGCAGCATGGCCTCTGTTATGTCCAGGAAAGTGAAAAGAAGCTGCATTTTGTTCAACTATGGCTTTTAATGCACTCACTAGAGGAGGTAGCCCACTCTCCTCAAGCTCTGGTGTATTGTTGAACATATTGTCTTCCTATAAAATAATTACTTTTTCAAAATAATTGCAAAAATTTTGAGGTCCTTTGGTTTTGGTCTGTATTTTTGAAACATACTCCCTCCGTAACGAGTTATAAGCAAATTTGACATTTTTGGTTCATTTGACAATTAATGTATATAGTCCATATATAGACTACATACATTAGTTGTCAAATGTACAAAAAAAAGTCAAATTTGCTTATAATTCGTTACGGAGAGAGTAATTTATTAAGAAAACCAAAACATAATAATTTGAAGTATAACTTGTTCTTGGAAAAAGTTTCACAGGAAGATGTATAAACAAATTTTATTGGTTATTGGTTATAGAGAAAATGGGAGGGATAACAAATTACATGCAATTTTCATTCGATTTCACCGGAATAAGTATTTTTTTGAAACAAGATGAAAGTTATTTTTTTCTTATAATTTTGGACACGAAAAATTAGTTTTTTTCCTTGTAAATTAGGATGGAGGGAGTACTAAATAAGATAGAGATAAACATACGGTTTTACTTACGGTCTCTCTGTATTTTGATGTTCAAATAACAAAAACTCATTGAAATAGACAGTGGCTTTTGAACTTATACTGTTTTTCGTTTTGTCATCTAGGTCATGCGCTTTTTGCTTTGGGAAGGAAAGCAGATGCTTTAATGGTATGGGAGCAAGGCTTTGAACTTGCTCAGCATCAATCTGCATATTTGAAGCAGTTGTTAGAACTTGAAGAGCTTTTGGTGAAAGAAAAACAAGGTAACAATGCATCGTATGAAACCAATGGACTGCCCATGGTGCAAGCCAAATCAGATTCTTCATGTAATAAGAACTTGACTGAAACTTGTGAAAGCCATGCTAAACTATGTGACAATACAAGTGATAAATCTGAGATCTTTCTAAAGTCCACTGATAAATTTGATGCAAAGAATGAACTAAATAGTGAAGGTAGAGAGTCTAATAAATGTGATGGCCAAGTTAATGGAAGCCCTGATGTTATTGATAATTTGTGCTATAACTCTGAGTCGTGTAATGATTCAAGTGATAATTCAGAATCATGTGATAAAGTATTTACTAATAGCGGTGAATCACGTGACTCAAACGATGCTCCTGAAATTCTTAAAAAGCCCAGTTTTAAGTTTACTTTCCCCAGTAAAAAAAGTAGCGAAGCAAGGAAAAATAAAAAGTTCTCTGTTGCTCGGATTTCAAAGACAAAGTCTATAAGTGTAGATTTTCGGCTTTCACGGGGAATAGCAGAGGTTTGTTTCTGCAACTGCTGATTTGTAGTATTTATCTGTTTAATTGTGTAATTGATATTGTGATTATTTGTAGGTTAACGAAGGGAAATATGCTCATGCTATATCCATTTTTGACCAGGTACAGTGTTGTCTTCCACAAAAAGGAGCAATGGGAGAGATTCATCAAATGATTTTGAAAAAGATACGAATTATGCGTTTGATCGAGTTGAAGAATTTGTCAATGTAATTGAGGAAGATCTTTGTGATTGTCCTCAAATGTTTGAGCGGATAGTAAGTGATGCAGAGACTCCGTTGTATGATGGATGTACTAAATTCACAAGACTGTCAACGGTCTTAAAGTTGTATAACTTAAAAGCACGCCATGGATGGTCCGATAGGAGCTTCACAGACTTGTTGTCTAAAAGATAGTAAGGGTGGTTTTGTTAAACATCGTCCGGCCAAATATTCTTTTTGTATAAAACAAGTGATTGGGATAAATTTGTAGCCCAACATATGACTGCAAAGTTTCAGGTAATACTTTTATCACTTGGATATGGATCCTTAAATGTTTGATTATTCTTTATATGTTGAATTAGTTTTTATTGTACAATACATAATCAATATTCCTTCTATGATACAGGAAAACAAGAAGCAATTATTTTGCCTAATTAGTGATTGTATATATGAGTTCAACGCTTTTGGATCATGAAGGTGGTTACTACATGGGATTGTTTTGTTATCCTTTCTTATTTTTTTGGTGTTTTGTTTAGAGAATTTGAATGTATGTTTTTGGATTTGGATTGAAGTACTCATAGATGGGCATCTACAAATTTGGCTATGCAAACGCCCTCTTAATATTCTATATGTTATGATATTTGGAAACAATAGGATTTGGTAATTTAAAATGTTATTTGGTATTTGATGGATCATTATTTATATGCAATGAGTAACTTAAAGCGTTATTTGTGTTGAATTGAATATAGTTATTTTATATTTACACCAAAAAAAATGATTGTGTAAGAAAAAATATTGTACTGTACTTATTAAAAATATTGTACCAAATATGTACCATTTATTAGCACTTTATTTGAAAGCGCTATCAAACATATGTTATATATTAGCGCTTTTTGTTTAGAGTGCTATAAAAAAACAAACAAAAAACATGCAAAATACTGACTTTGATAGCACTTTAATTAAAACGCTATTATAAATTGGTACTTTAATAGCGCTTTAAAAGCGCTATTAAATAAGAAATATTTACAATAGTGGCGCGGTTAATAGCACTTTTAAGCGTTATCAAAAACAAAAAAAGCGCTATTAAATAGCTTATTTGGCTTAGTGTAAGTTAATATTTAATTTTATTTAAATTAATTTCCTCCAATATAATATTAGGAATCTCTTTATTAATTTAGCAACCTCCTTTATTCAAAATATGATGGAGCGTGCAAAATAATTAATTTATAAAAGTAGAGACTAAAATTGCATTTAAATCTAAAAGTTTGCAATCAATAAAAATATTTATTTAATTAAAATAATACAAGTAAATGTTTTATATTTTATCTATCCATAGCATTGTTGCATCCTTTATAAATTGAGAACAGTCTAGGGGACTTCCCATTATCCAAGTAGGTATTGTATCTTTCACTCCTTCGAATTTTTTATTCCTTGTATATGTGAAAGTCATTAGTATAATTTATCATTCATTTGAAAATAAGTCATCTCTCTTTATAATTTGAATCTTCATATGACAGGTTGATGATATGAGTAAATGGTTATTTCTATAGTTAATGTAATATTTAGTTTATAAATAAATAATTATATCATATTTTTGTATATGCTTTCTTTTCTTATTTAACTAAATATCTATTTATTTATTAATATTTAATTTTATTTAAAATAATTTCAACCAATATCATACTAGGAATCTGTTTATTAATTTGGCAACCTCCTTCATTCAAAATGTGACGGAGCATGCAAAATTATTAATTTATAAAAGTAGAGAATAAAATTGCATTTAAATCTAAAAGTTTGCAATAAATAAATATATTTATTTAATTTAAATAATACAAGTAAATGTTTTATATTTTATCTATACATAGCGTTGTTACATCCTTTATAGATTGAGAACGGTCTAGGGGACTTCCCATCATCCAAGTAGGTTGTGTATCTTTCACTCCTTCGATTTTTTTATTCCTTGTATATGTGAAAGTCATTAGTATAATTTATCATTCATTAGAAAATATGTCATCTCTCTTTATAATTAGAATCTTCATATGTCAGGTCAAGGATATGAGTAAATGGCTATTTCTATAGTTAATGTAATATTTAGTTTATAAATAAATAATTATATCATATTTTCATTTATGCTTTCTTTTTTTATTTAACTAAAAATCTATTTATATGTTAATATTTAATTTTATTTAAATTAATTTCCTCCAATATAATATTAGGAATCTCTTTATTAATTTAGCAACCTCCTTTATACAAAATATGATGGAGCGTGCAAAATAATTAATTTATAAAAGTAGAGACTAAAATTGCATTTAAATCTAAAAGTTTGCAATCAATAAAAATATTTATTTAATTTAAATAATACAAGTAAATGTTTTATATTTTATCTATCCATAGCATTGTTGCATCCTTTATAAATTGAGAACAGTCTAGGGGACTTCCCATTATCCAAGTAGGTATTGTATCTTTCACTCCTTCGAATTTTTTATACCTTGTATATGTGAAAGTCATTAGTATAATTTATCATTCATTTGAAAATAAGTCATCTCTCTTTATAATTTGATTCTTCATATGACAGGTCGATGATATGAGTAAATGGCTATTTCTATAGTTAATGTAATATTTAGTTTATAAATAAATAATTATATCATATTTTTGTATATGCTTTCTTTTCTTATTTAACTAAATATCTATTTATTTATTAATATTTAATTTTATTTAAAATAATTTCAACCAATATCATACTAGGAATCTGTTTATTAATTTAGCAACCTCCTTCATTCAAAATGTGACGGAGCATGCAAAATTATTAATTTATAAAAGTAGAGAATAAAATTGCATTTAAATCTAAAAGTTTGCAATAAATAAATATATTTATTTAATTTAAATAATACAAGTAAATGTTTTATATTTTATCTATACATAGCGTTGTTAGATCCTTTATAGATTGAGAACGGTCTAGGGGACTTCCCATCATCCAAGTAGGTTGTGTATCTTTCACTCCTTCGATTTTTTTATTCCTTGTATATGTGAAAGTCATTAGTATAATTTATCATTCATTAGAAAATATGTCATCTCTCTTTATAATTTGAATCTTCATATGTCAGGTCAAGGATATGAGTAAATGGTTATTTCTATAGTTAATGTAATATTTAGTTTATAAATAAATAATTATATCATATTTTCATTTATGCTTTCTTTTTTTATTTAACTAAAAATCTATTTATATGTTAATATTTAATTTTATTTAAATTAATTTCCTCCAATATAATATTAGGAATCTCTTTATTAATTTAGCAACCTCCTTTATTCAAAATATGATGGAGCGTGCAAAATAATTAATTTATAAAAGTAGAGACTAAAATTGCATTTAAATCTAAAAGTTTGCAATCAATAAATATATTTATTTAATTTAAATAATACAAGTAAATGTTTTATATTTTATCTATCCATAGCATTGTTGCATCTTTTATAAATTGAGAACAGTCTAGGGGACTTCCCATTATCCAAGTAGGTATTGTATCTTTCACTCCTTCGAATTTTTTATTCCTTGTATATGTGAAAGTCATTAGTATAATTTATCATTCATTTGAAAATAAGTCATCTCTCTTTATAATTTGAATCTTCATATGACAGGTCGATGAATTGAGTAAATGGTTATTTCTATAGTTAATGTAATATTTAGTTTATAAATAAATAATTATATCATATTTTTGTATATGCTTTCTTTTCTTATTTAACTAAATATCTATTTATTTATTAATATTTAATTTTATTTAAAATAATTTCAACCAATATCATACTAGGAATCTGTTTATTAATTTAGCAACCTCCTTCATTCAAAATGTGACGGAGCATGCAAAATTATTAATTTATAAAAGTAGAGAATAAAATTGCATTTAAATCTAAAAGTTTGCAATAAATAAATATATTTATTTAATTTAAATAATACAAGTAAATGTTTTATATTTTATCTATACATAGCGTTGTTACATCCTTTATAGATTGAGAACGGTCTAGGGGACTTCCCATCATCCAAGTAGGTTGTGTATCTTTCACTCCTTCGATTTTTTTATTCGTTGTATATGTGAAAGTCATTAGTATAATTTATCAATCATTAGAAAATATGTCATCTCTTTTTATAATTTGAATCTTCATATGACAGGTCAATGATATGAGTAAATGGCTATTTCTATAGTTAATGTAATATTTAGTTTATAAATAAATAATTATATCATATTTTCGTTTATGCTTTCTTTTTTTATTTAACTAAAAATCTATTTATATGTTAATATTTAATTTAATTTAAATTAATTTCCTCCAATATAATATTAGGAATCTCTTTATTAATTTAGCAACCTCCTTTATTCAAAATATGATGGAGCGTGCAAAATAATTAATTTATAAAAGTAGAGACTAAAATTGAATTTAAATCTAAAAGTTTGCAATCAATAAATATATTTATTTAATTTAAATAATACAAGTAAATGTTTTATGTTTTATCTATTCATAGCATCGTTACATCCTTTATAAGATTGAGAACAGTCTAGGGGACTTCCCATTATCCAAGTAGGTTGTGTATCTTTAACTCCTTCGAATTTTTTATACCTTGTATATGTGAAAGTCATTAGTATAATTTATCATTCATTTGAAAATAAGTCATCTCTCTTTATAATTTGAATCTTCATATGACAGGTCGATGATATGAGCAAATGGTTATTTCTATAGTTAATGTAATATTTAGTTTATAAATAAATAATTATATCATATTTTCTTTTATGCTTTCTTTTTTTATTTAACTAAAAATCTATTTATATGTTAATATTTAATTTTATTTAAATTAATTTCCTCCAATATAATATTAGGAATCTCTTTATTAATTTAGCAACCTCCTTTATTCAAAATATGATGGAGCGTGCAAAATAATTAATTTATAAAAGTAGAGACTAAAATTGCATTTAAATCTAAAAGTTTGCAATCAATAAATATATTTATTTAATTTAAATAATACAACTA